CCCCCCCCATTCCCCCCGTCGGGGTTGCCTCTTCGATCGGAATCTGTCATTTGTGTTTACCTACGTTTTCCCTTTGACCCTGGGATAGCGTGATCCAATTTGACGTGCCTTGTCAGCTGATTTGCCGCTAATATGAATAACTCTAAACTAGCACGCTTAGATTTTTTAAAATCATTTTGACAGAACAACAATAGACGACACAGACAACAACAGATAGCATGAGGTCACCTAAGACTATTATTTTACACAGACATTTGCTACCTAGACTTATTTTCAATGTTTTCTTCTCGATACCTCATTTTAGGTTTCTCCACAGTTCAGCTTTCCTCATTGGCAACTTTCGTATTTATCAGATATTTTTCCTTTCACATAGGCTTACATTGCCAACCCAAAGTTTCTAGATATATTCTAAGGCCTGTCGATTTGGAACTGCCATGCCAATCAACATATAATATTTTCAAATAACCTTTGCTCTCTTGATATACTATTATGTACTGACTTTAAGTGTGATGCACACATGCATTGCTTTCCAATTAACAACAACAAACACAACTACAATGTCATGGTATGCGAATTTGGGTTTTCTTGGTCAACTTTTCTCGGAAACGAACAAACTTTTAACAATCTTTTACGTTTTGAAATTCAAGATCTGATATCGTCACTCAGTTAGCACACTTACGAAATCGTCAGTTTTATGGATATAGTGACCTTCTTCCAGCCGTTATCGCCGGTTATGAACGTAGAAGATACCATATTACGCTTTATTTACCGTTGCCAGTCAAATTACTCGTAAATAAGCCCTTTGTACAATAGAACCTCTATTCCCAGTTAATATCAGGTCAAAAATCATTGTTATATAGAACTTTTAGCTCATGAAGACTTATTCCTAGTTTCTTGTCTTAATTCTAAACTCGTTTTTAAGGCTGACGCGCTAAGTGCTTGCTATAGTGAACACAATTCATTGATAGGTCCTGACACACCATTGAAAGATTCTGATGATGCCTCATGGCTTGGCATCCTTTGGACAAGATCATAAAAAACAAAGGATCAGAATGACAACGTAAAACAAAACGAAGAATAATTACGGACTCTGAACATCTAGAACTTACTTGTAAATGAACTTTGGATATGAACTTTGCTTTTAAGCAATTATTGAACTTTGATTTATACATATATTGGGCAATATATAACCATATATTTTAGACAGCTTAGCTAGTTTTATTAATTGTATTTATCCTTCTATATTATCAATTTCTTATTAAGATTATTCAAAAACAAAATCAAAAACAAAAACAAAGCAAAACAAAAATCTCTACAAAAAAAGAGAATTTTTTCTTAAGACTCAGATATAACAGCTATATCTTAGCTTCAACAATATTATTACTTATATTAATATATACTCGCATATATTTTGCTAGTTTAGCTATTCCCTTTCACACCTGAGGCATGTTATGAGAGAGAAAATGAATATTTTTACAGAGAACGATCAATTAGCTATATAAAAGTATCAATATAAGATTTCAGCAAGGCTACCATCACGCACAAGTTTAGATAATGATATGCWTTGAATTCACAAGTAAWCCTCTTAGCTCCTCCTCTTAGTACCTCTGGTTACGCGGACGCCCTACACAGTTTTTACCCCTTTGCTCAGTTATTTTAGAATTATTCTCTAGAATCGTATGATAGAAATATTCCTTGTAGCCTTTTCTATACATTTACAATCATATAACAACTTTAGTTTAAGCTATGTTTAATTTTCCAAGATTTTCACTCGTATTACTCATCAATAGAATATCGTGCTAAAGAATTTATTTCTTATTTCTTGATTATAGAATGACACCTGTCATAGAATAGTTATGAATACAGATTGTGAAGTAAGTTCAACAGAGAGAGTAGAATAAAGATCCCGAAGCTCATACCGAGAGCGGTCCTCCCATAACAGATGCTTATAAGCATATAATCTTTAAAAGCTTTCCTCCATAATATGTTGCTTTAGGATAGATAATATTTCATCTCCAACATGACTATTTAATATATGCAGTTAAGAAACATAATAAACTGAATTCCTTGCCCCATCCCACCCCTCCCTTCCAATCTTACCCTATATCCCCCCTCCCCCAAATCCACAATAAGTCTCTCTAAAGTCATCTGTTCTAAACAACTTTTTTTGCCTTTGTCGTTGACGTTAATTGATCATATATAGTTCTCCACTAAAGTTTTAGTCCAGTATATGCACTACTGTTATTGTATTACTATTAACCACTGCTAGGCTGTTGTTACTGCTGTTCATATTTACTATAGACTCCTAATGCAGCTAAATGTGGAAAAGACAAACGAATGAATAGAATTCTACTCTCCTAAGAATTGCAATTGTATTGTTTTATCCTTCAAATTGAGTTACTTTGGAATCTAGAGCAAGGGATTTATGCAATCAAAGTAAAGTCTACATCTGTCCTTTTCACTAACGTTTTTTGACACAAACCAAGTACGGCTTTGGATGCAAAACAGCAGCTGCATGTCCTTCCAACGAAGGTAGCTCACATCCTTGTGGAGTCTCAAACTTAAACTGCTGCAGAAGCCGACACAGAAAGAGAAACAACTCAGAGCGGGCAAGAACTTCACCAAGACATACACGTGGACCTGCTCCAAATGGCAAGAACGTTCCTCCCACTGGTGACTTGAAATTGCCTTCTTCATCCAAGAATCGGTCAATATTGAACTTGAAGGGGTCCTGCCAGATGGTGGGGTCATGATGAAGGGACCACAAGTTCGCCATGACAGTAGTATCTTTTGGAATATTGTACCCTTCCAAAACTGTGTCGTCTGTTGTCTTGTGTGGAATTGCCAATGGCACCAGATTGGCTTTGCGTTGGGTTTCGGCAGTAAACGCTTCCAGTGTCGGCAACATTTTCTTTTGGTTCAGATTGGGGAACTCATCACTGCCAATGACGTCATGGATTTCCTTATAAAGGCGTTCTTGGATGTCAGGGTTGTGTAGCAAGTAGGCTATGGCCCAACCGAGGGTAGTAGAAGTGGTTTCAGAACCAGCTGTAAAGAGAGAAGTTATACCTGCAGTCACAATGGTGTCATCATCAAGATATTTCTGGTTGGCGTGATCCTCCGTCTCAGCCTGTTGTTTGGTATACAAAAGGGCATCTATGTAGTCACGGATCGTCTCGCCATCAAATTTCTTTTTATGCTCAACAAATTTTTGACTCAAAAACTCGAATCGCTCATTCGCCATTTTTTCAAGCAGTTTTGTTTGCTCGTCTTGTGGCAAAAAGAACTTCAGAAAAGGAAAAAGCTTTTGAAAAGAGGCGCCGATGAACTTGACTCTCGTGATCTGGTCGTTAATATTGTAAATCTTAAGAAACTCCGGGTCATCAATTTCATATCTCTGACCAAGTAACTTAGTACAAATCACATTGGTGACAGCCATGTTGAATTGAATTGCAATATCCAGAGGCTTTCCAACCTCAGCCTCCAATCTTTTGCAGAGTTCGTCGACTTCCTTTGAAATGACCTCTTGTAAGCGTCCCTCTCCGTAGATTTTAATGGCTGAGTGCCCCAGTTTACGGTAAAGCTTCCACTTTGCACCATAATCCATCAAGGGCAGACCTGGGCCTCTTTTGACAATAAATGGAGGTTCTACACGTCCAGCGAAGTCTTTTGGCTGTCTTACGAGAGCTTCTTTGATGGCATCGCCACTCAAGACAATCATTAATTTGTGGCCAAGATAGATGCGATAGATCTTGCCGTACTGCTCACCCACTTTTGTCAAGCTTAGGTGCATTTCTTGGCTTAGCAGATTCGCATTGCCGATGATAGGCCATGGTGCTGGACCAGGGGGCAAGTTGTTTCCACGAAATTCGAAAAAGAAGTGATAAATGAAGAAGACTGTAACAGCGAAGAGAGCTAGCTCTATAATCATCTTGAATATTCCTGACGTGTATGTTGTTCTGCTTTAGTGCTTCGTCTGGGACGGTTGTCTCGGTTGATGGAAGAGTCAAGTTTAGGAATGTTTTATGAGTGTCGACATGATACGCTTCAAATGTCACGCTTTGGAAAATCGGAAATGGCGTTACGGTTAAACCGGATCTCCGGATCAACTGACATAACGAACTCGAAATCTAATAATCTTTGGAAAAGGCGAAATTTGGGGGGTATCGGGGAAATTTTTGTTTGAAAAAGGCGGGGATGGGCAAATTTCTATCAGAAAAATGTGGAGGGGGGGGGGGGGGGGGSACAATTTTTGGAARAASCWACAAGCCTTGCCTAGGGGGGATCGTATTTTTTTGCATGACTTTAAGGGGGGATGTTAAGAACTATTTTGGACATTTCAAATTTTCACCTGCCCCCCTCCTCTGCCATACATTATGAACGCAGCCTAAATATTTTGATTTCAATTCACAAGCTTTTTATCAAAAATGACTTTAACTGTACATTTCTAGCTCTATCGCTGTGTGTTTCAAAATCCAGCAACTTATTTTAACATCACCTTTAGGCCATTAGAGAATAAGGTAAACTGTTCAACTCAAGTATCCCCGTGTATCCTACCCCAGAGTCGTGTCATTTATCAATTTGGGCTTCCTGTGGATTTTTGCTGGCGCAGGTAAGCAAACCAGCGGTATTCATAGAAGCGCGGGAAATAAGAAAGAGAACAAAATGGCGGAGTGACCATTGTTAGAATCAACATATTTGTTGTTCTTTGAAGTACAATTTGTACATAATTATAAAGATCGGGCTCAACAAAATAATAGAGAAAAATGGTGCAGATTGTGATGACAATGTAAGTATTCTTTTCGTAGTCACGTAAGGTCAGAATCGGTTCGAACTCATCACTAGCTCTTGATCTGAAAAGTTCTAAGCTTACTTTATCTATATCACAAATTAGTTTATTAATTAAGTGTCGAATCGTCTAGCTCGATCTGTGATGTATGCATTGTCTAACCAAGAATATGAAATCGTTGACACGAGAACAAAGTTTAAAGAATCAGAATTCGATCAGACGATGCGAATATATGAGGGGTAATGAGTCATCAGTTGTTCATTTATATACTGTCATGTTACCCTCGACAAACTAAGATAATTACTTACTTAGGGACGGGCCATTTGGTTTTTGTAGGGGGGAGAGGTTTTTGTTTACGCCTCATGACCGTGCAGTAATTTTTTTGGACATTTGGATTTTTTTCTGGCACTTTTCTTGTGCACGATTTTTTTTTCACTCTTTAAAGCTGTGCTAGAATTTTTTGGGGCTTTTGCTCAACCCCCACCCCCTCTAAAATCTAATGGTCTGTCCCTTACTTACTTACAATAACATGATAATGGTAGTAGTGATGGTGGTAAAGAAAAAAAGAAAAAACTTGCATCCATTCCAATTGGAATTGGTGTCAATTTGGCATTAATCGATATCAAATTAATCCATTAAGATCAGCATTAACGAAACAATGGAGTTCTTTTTTTAGCTTATTATGAGATGCCATTCAATTAGATTTACTTTCAAGTAAATATTGCCTTGTTCAAATGTTGGCCATACAAAATAGTTATTTATTGCTCTCTGTTTTGTCTTCCCTCCTCTCAAATCAACCCTAACTAATTCAGACTGGTTGGAGCTGTGCTCCTGGTTCATACATGGACTGTATAGCAGCTGCCAGAGGCCCCTTTACATGCTTTCAGGTCAACCCTGTTCTGCTGCGCCAAAGCTGTAATTGCAGTGGTGATTAGTAATAAGCTCATAAGAAAGTAAGACAATTGGAGCTACAGCTTACCCATTTACAACCATGTTTCATTCCCTAAAGTATCATTTCTTTGTTTATCAGTTGCACATGAAAAGACATATCAATATAGATGCAACTCAAATGAAAAATCTTATTCTCAGGGGAATGACACATGTTCTGAAATGGGAAATGTTTTCACATTGTGCCCAAGGAAAAGAGGTCTATTCATAAATCAAATTGGAATTAACTTCATGCTAGATATTTTCGGAGGGAGGAAAATGGTAGAAACTTGAGAAAACCTCTAACTCTTCTCATGCGTCACGAGTCTTGGAATCAAACTTGATACCCCAATGGGAAAATATGATTTACGTGCAAACTGAAAAGGTCTATTAACAGAATAAAAAAAGAAAGTGTGTAAGGGATTCTGCTAGTCATATTTAAAGATGATATTGCAAATGTCCTATTGGAGTTAGTTGAACTGAGTAATATAAATTGATTGTAAAGTTTAATACAGATGAGGATAAAAGGCACCCAACAAGTACAGTATAAATAGCACAGCTCATAGTCCCCTTCTGATTTGGTCACTTCCTGCAAGGTGTATTACTCAACAGAGCTTTCTAATCATTTCCATAAATGCATACATACATTCTTTATATATATAAGGATTCTAACTAATAATAATAGTAATAATAATAATAATAACTAATTCATAAATTAGAAATAAATAAACTTATCAATATTCTTATTACTATTGAGCTAGAACCAATTTAAGTGATCTTATCTATAATCTTAAAATGCTTAGAATAGAATTTTTCCAGAGCTTATAAAAAATAATGGTGAATTATTTCTTCAAAAGGGATACAGCAGTCCAAGAATGGATCGTAATAGAACTCCAAGGTGCTTTAGAGACAAGAGATGARGTTAGCCTGGAGGGCAGACACATTGGCGATTTACATTTTGACAGCATGGTATGAATCGTATAATATCAGTATTGTGTGTTAATAATGTACTCTTAACTTGCCTTTACTGGGCTAACATTCAATAATATATATTATATTTCAGTTTTTATGCAGATAATACATTTATATTTTATATACACTCTTTCAAGGTCACAGTAAAGAACTACTAATTTTATCAATTAAATATTAATTAATTAATATTTAATATTAATTAAAATCCTGAAACAGGCTCAGCTCTGGGGTTATACAGTAAAGTCAGGGCATGGCTCATTGACGTCTTTACCTTGGGTGTAGTGTTTTCCCATTTCAGACCTTGTGTCATTCCCTAGAATATTGTTTCTTTGTTTATCAGTTGCACATGAAAAGACACATGAATATAGATGCAACTCAAATGAAAAATCTTATTCATGTGGTCTGAAATGGGAAAACATTGTGCCCAAGGTAAAGAGGTCTATTCATAGATCAAATTGGAATTTAGCTTCATGTTAGACTTTTTCAAAGGGAAGAAAATGGTGAAAACAGATGAATTAAACTCTACTCATGTGTGATGCCGAGTCTTGAATCAAACTTGATACCCCAGAGTTGACAGGAAAGTGCACTATCCTTACACCATCCATGATTCCCAAACAACATTCCTGTATGCCCAACAGACCCCTCTGGGGTCTTTTGTTCAGTTCCTGCACTCAGCTTAATAGATTACTCAAATAAATAAATCGGATTTAGCAGTGGCATTTTCCAAGAGTGGTTCTTTATCCACTGAAATTGAAATTGAAATTGAATAATCTTCTAACCATTAAAATTGAGGGTTTATAAGACTATTTGGTTTTCCTCCCTTATCAAAACCCAATCTGAGATACCTGTGCCAGTGCCCTGTTATTTCAGTGTTTGATAAAATTGATGCTTCATTGATTTTTTTTTTTGGTTGAAAAAATCTTAAAAATCATTTTTTATCATTGCCGTTAAACATCCTCTGGCCTAACTCTTCAACTAAAGGAAGTATTCAGTTTGTTAGGTTTTGCAGATGAAGTGAACATTAATTAGAGAACCTTGAAAGAAACTTCGAAGTAAAAACCCTTGAATCAAGGGAGATCAGTCGCTTAACACCAAAATAGTCACAGAGTGGATTAAAGTACCAAATTTGGCAGAGATGTTTGTTTTAATGATCAAAGTGATTTCAGAAGGGGAGCCAAGAGATACAAGTTCAGGGGGGTGTCGTACACTACCAGAGGGGGGAGGGGAGGGGTTAAATCATCCCTAAAGTAGGTATCCAACAACCAAAACTCACATGTCATATAGARTCTGGAACCCAAGACCTCAGAGGTGTGGGGCAAGTGCTCTACTTTTATGCTACCCTTGATTCCCTGAACATAACATGAAAAAATAATTAGTTTAAACCTTGTTCTTAGGGTATTCCACAGTTAATCATTGGCCATCATCTTCTTACTGGCAAAATAGTAAATCTGGACAAACCCTATGCAGTCATGAAGAGAAGCACTTCTATTGAACCAATGGAGATTGAAATAGATGCAGGAAATAGTAGAAAACAAACAGAATATGACATTGTAGCTCTTGTTAAAAGGAAAATTGTCTTTAAGAATAGACCCAAGCCTATAATTATTAAAACAGAGCCAATAAGAAATTAGAAAATTAGGTATTAGTATCAGCAGACTTTTTCATGGTTTTACACAGTGCAATTACTGCAATTTTCACAAACATGCGAACTCTTTGTCTCTGAGTTGCACGCTCAAACAAGTCAAAAATATGAAAGGTACCAACTGATTAGGTTTGATTGACGACAGCGAAAAACCGCAGCAGATGCACCGTTCACATGTTTTGGAAAATCGCAGTAACCTACAAGTAAATTTATAAAATAACTGTTATGAATGTCACTTTCTGATTGGTTTGGAGCATGTGCTTTATGAGAGCACATTGCATGCGCGTGCACTTTCCGTTGCGTCATTCCTACCTATTATGGTAATTTGTATTTTATAAAAGAAATAGAAAACGTGCGTGTGTGCTGTGTGCCGTCATAAAGCACTTGGGGGTTGGCATTTCTTCATTAGACCTCCCTTTAACAAATCAAACAGCTTTTGCCGGCGCTTCCTAAGTGCTTTATTACTGAACGAAGCATGGAAAAAATTGTTTTGTTTTATCATTAAGTTAATGTTATTTCGGTATTGAATTTATTTACACAAAAAGAAAGTCGGTCGAAGGATCTAGCAGCACTTCACGCATGCAGATGGTGTCAGCACTGTGCTCCGTTCAATAATAAAGCACAGTTTTCGACCAAACAGTGCGCACGTACTACCCTAACTATATAATAATTAACAAATAAAACAGCTTTTTCCGTGCTCCGTTCAGTAGTAAATCAGACAGGAAGTGGCGTAAGCACTCAAGAAGTGTAAGGAGAAGCAACTGAGCCGTAGACGAGTGCTTCTCACACTTCTTGAGTGCTTTCAGCACTTCCTAAGTGCTTTATTACTGAATGGAGCACGGAAAAAGCTGTTTTATTCTTTCTGCAGACGATGTTCCCATCCATTATGTCCCAATTGGTGTCACAAATAGATTTCCAATCACCATAGTAACAAACTTCAACAYGACCACTGTTAGGTACACTATTGCTGTTCATAACAATTGACAAAGCTAAAAATATCCGGTAACATACATACTATGTTCATTACATACAAAACGTTTTGAAATTAGTTTATTTTTTCATTAAAATATAGTAAAAATAAATAAAAATTAGAATACTTCTTTACCAACAAGCAAAGTGTGTTATATTTTAGACGTTCTTCCAGTTTTACTTTCGAAAACTACTTTTTTCGGCTTTCAGCTTTTTCTTAAAATAGACGATTCTGATCAAAAATAAGAAGATTTCTTTTCTTTACAAATAAATTATAAAAAGGACCTATATTTTCTTAGAAAATCATTGACATTCTTTACAAGTAAATCAGGATCTCTCTGAAAATCACTGCTGTGATTATTGATATTGTATTGTTGTGTTGTGTGCGAACACCGGCTATCTGGTAACCTCTTTCCACTTGACAGTGGTGCAGCGAGTCTCAAAAATAGAAGAACGAAATTTTTCTTTTTAAGTTAAACGAAAGAAATGGAGATGGAAATTAATGTCTAGTTATAGCAATGCTAGTATAATATTTGAAATATAACGTGCGCGCTGATTGGCTGATAAAATATTTTGAATATATATCGCGCACGCTAATTGGATGGCTACAGTGTTTGTATCAGAGTACAGAACTCGCGCCAAATTGGTAAAAATGTTTTATAAGATGAGCAATATAAAACAGATGCTTATTTCTCTGTATTGTGATGAAAACACTCTGGGAGCTATATAGCATTTGAATATTGAATGGATAGAACTGTGGTGAAATAATGATAGATGTGTTGATCATCACAGTGAATGAGCGATCTAAGCAAACGCTGTGAAAAAGACCTGAAAAATAGAGATTTTTTGTAATCAAATGTTTTCATAATCCTCGTCGTCTGTATCCTTTTCTTCATCCTATTCAAAAAGAAAGAAATTTTAATATTAACGACTTTTTTCTGGATTTGCGTTTTTGTCCCCCCACCCCCCCACCCCCAATTTATTCCCACGATGGTGATTACACGATGCGACTTCGATTGCTTTTTTAGTGGTTGAAAATTGCACCATACTTTACAGATTCGAATCTTTCCGACTGTCAAAAAATTTCCGTTTTTGAACACTTTGATTTATTTTGATATAATCGTAGCGTTTGAAAAATACTTTGCATAGACGTTTGAAATTTCGCTTTGGTGACCCAAAACAAAAGTTCTGAGTCAAGGTTGCATGGACGCCACTTTGCCACTTTGCATGACCATGCGCGAACTGCTGTGCTGTGAGATAGTAATGTAGGCTCAACACAGGGTACCCACGCATTTAGCTTGTAGCAAGATGTCTCGGTGTTCGATTTATTTATTTCCTTTTCTTATAACCTTCACAGTTATTTGAAACTAATCAGCTACATGTAAAATCGGCTAAAGAATGTTCTCAAAGAAACGATTTTTGAATAATAGCTCTAGACATATAATTTATTCATAGGCAAAGCAAGACTATGCCCTTGCAGAAAATTGATAATTTCTCTATTTTCACCCCCTAAGCAGCCAAGAAACGAGGACGCGCGGAATGTTATCATTACTTTCTGGGCGTGATTCCTAGGTGAGAAACATTATGAATGCCCCCGGGTCGTCAGTTGCCTATTTAAGAGAGAAAATCCAAGGTTTCGGTCCAATTTTCTCAGGTTCGCTGTACTAGTCAGTGCTAGACGGATTTTTGACCCCACCCACCTCCCCTTCGGCGACGTTTCTCCATTATAATAGTTCAGTCCGGTAGCTTAATCACAGCCTCGGCAAAACTTAACCGCGCGTATGAGGTGAATGGCTGCTTAGGCGGTGAAAATAATATACTATTTTCCCCAATTTTTCTAACTAATAAAACACGATAGGTCGAAAGCACAGATAACAAAGACATCTAATCAAATGAATTTTATGTGGTAGTTTCTCTCACAAGTCAGAAAAGTACTCGAGAGTAAAGATAAACATAATTATACTGCATTTGATACTTTCTTAATAAGTACCCAAGAGAATTGTTCGATTGCTGGGATATCGAGAATCCCTTTCCGGCAAGGATACATATAACTAAAATATGCATTATTTCGGCTCGAGCATTTGAAATAAAAAAAGTTTCTTGACCAATTTATAAATGACTATGCAAACAATGTTTACTACTTGGATGGACAAGAAATATAACTTCCCGGATTTTCCAATCAAAGTCCATAAGCAAACACAATAAACACATATAGATGTTATCATTTTTGCAAAGCTCGAATTACGAATATGTGATATGAAAGAAAGGCGAATATTTTCGCATGTCATTGCAGGCGATTTCTACACATGATATCGTAATAAAAGAAGAATATCATAACACTCAACTTTATAGCAAATCTGTCATCAAATAGTCTTATTTCTTCAGTAAAACCAATAGCTAAGCATATCACAACAGTCGCCATTTTTGAGGTAGCTCGCATGGCTCTTTGCAATCATGTTTTGCGAAGACTTTATGCGTTGATATTCACTTGAATCGCACAAATGATACATATTCGATGTCAGGCTTAATGTCTGAGCCTATATCGAGTCGTTTCAGAAGACGAAGAAGCAGATCTTTGAGCACATTTATCAGAGTATCGCCACATGAGCTTTGCATGGTATGGCGCGCATGCGCAGCAAAAAAGCCCCTTGTTATGAGCACATTAAGTCCAACTTTGGAGCCATTGTTTTGTGGCCACTCAAGCTCAAAAGGTCTATTTTCTTTGACAATCAAGTTATAAGGCATGGTTTTCGATTGCGTTAAATGTAGTACCCTGAGAATTCTATCCTATAATATATATTTTTCCTATCCACATGGTTCTTCCTTTATGTGATATCATGAATTGAAAGGATTCTTACCGTTAAGACAGGCTTTGGCACTTGATAACGCTGCATCCAAAGTCCAGTAACATTTTCATAATCACAACATTCATTTTCTTCGGTTGATTCGTATTTTCGATCAAGAGGTTTGCAATAAAAATCAGGTTGATCATTTGGCTCTTCAGGGTTCGTAAACTCTGTCAACTCTACAAGAAAAAGTGTCCAAAATTTTGCAATAATATACTCATTCATTTCTTTATCATGAGTGTCTAGTATTCCTATTATTAATATACAATTGAAAATATAATAACCGCTACGAGGATTATACGAACCGATTTTATTATTTTTACTTAAAGTTACAATAATAACCCATGTAAACTAAGATCAACTGCGATCCGGCTTTGAAAATTATCTGCTGAAAGTAAACTAGCTTGTAAGATTGTTTGTCCGAATTTCGCCTTTGTCTTCGTTTTTATGACGTAACGGTTGCGCTGCGCTATTAAACGAACGTTGTAAATTCCAAACCCGGGATCGGATGAAAAGTTTATTTTGTTCTTCACAGATTCCAAGGTGCAAAGCCAAAATTATTTCTACAATTGTAGCAACCATCTTAAACCGAATTCCAAATATTACCGCTGTGTTCCTTGGTTACGAACTAATTTACTCAGGGTTAGCTTTGAATCAGTGTTTAAATATCCTTAAAACACTCATTAATAATTCATAAGCTTATGGTCCAATTGGAGCCACCATACACGTCACGTGCATGAACCTTTATACCCGATAAAGTCCTCTTCATTAGTATTCAAGTGATTTTATATAAAGACAGATGTGATCTTTATATAAAGACAGATGTGATCTTTATATAAAGACCACTCGAATACTATGAGGATGACTTCATCAGGGATGAAGTATGCATCCAAGTTTAGATGAAGACATAGAGCTTCATCAAGGTCATAGTCAACCCTAATGATCTTTGACTAACGTGCCTGTCTTTGCCTTGGCACGTAATATCCAACGTGTGGGAGCTTCTATTGAATCTGGTTGCGCATGCCCATGACGTCAAATCTCTATCGAAGTATAAAAATCCATGTTCGTGACGTGTATGGTGGCTCCAGTTGAACCAAAATCTTATAAATTGTTCATGAGTGTTTTAAGCAGTTCAAAAAACTCGTAGATCGTGTTTTAAACAGTACACAAATATCAACGGCCCGGAAAAGTAAAGAATGCACAACTTCGAAAATACATATCAAACAATGAGTGTCAAAGCTCTCTTTCCCGGTCTTAAAAAAAAGAGACTGGGGAGAAGCTTGTTTTTTCCCGCATTTTTTGTAGTTTTTTTCGTCTTCGCCAAGCTCGTAAATGTCTCTCAGCCGTTTCGCCAGCCAACGAACACGCTTGTCCGCCATCTTTGACCTCAGGGTAAAGACCCGCAATCCAAATATGGAATTATATGGAGTGACCTTTCTCAACTCCAACTTTGACACTAATGGATGGAGCAAAACTTGATATACAAACACTTTGAAAGTCGACGGACCTTGACTGGAACACGTGAATATTCTGCACAAAATTGAGGCTAACTTTATGTAAAGGAGTCTGGTAGTAACACAGCGGTAATTTTAAACTCAATAATGGTTTATAAAGCATAAACACCCTGCCAATAAATCTTCACCCCCTCCCCCCAACCCAGCCTTATCCTGCTACGTTCTTACCTGCTGCTTTGGCAGACTTGTATTTTTTCCTTGTATTCTTTAATTTTATTGTACAGTAAGCGATAAGCCCAACAATAACACAAACCAACAGCATTAAGATCACTGATAATCCTAATACAGCGTAGCTGTAAGTATTTTTCTTAGTCTCCTGGTCTGTCACATCTGGAATATCAAACAAATAAATTCCTAATGTTATAGTTTCAGTTTGATTACTTTCTATCAGAAGGTTTTATAAACAACGATTTCTCTGTGATTTGCATGTGTTCTTTCACAAGTATAGACGTATATCTGCTCGTGGTCTTTTTTAGGATCTTGACTATTTGAATGTTCTTGTTAGTATTCTTGGGTTGCATGTACATTACGTCATAGCCGCCATGTTGGTTGACGATAGCAAAGCATTCCTCATTAGAATTTTATGTTAGTCCAACCAACATGTCGGCTGTTTCACTGTTATTTATATCTGGTGGGGTTACATATGTTGAGTGCAAATGTTTTCATTGTATTGTGTATTGTTCGCATCGTTTTTATTTCTAAAAATGTTCTTTTGTACTTATTAACTAGTAGGTACCTTTCACAGAAGCCGTCGTTTTGCTTTTAGTTGTGAATGCTACGAAGTTTGAGTGGCCGTTAACTCTTTCTTGTTCCTGAAACCCAAAACAAAACTATTAAATCAATTATTTTCACGCCATAATTAACCTGAACAATCAACATGGGAATGCAAACCATTTTCCGCTAAAAAAAGGGAGAAAATATCTAAATACAAGAGACACCACTCACCCCTTCCATTGCCATGGTAACGATCCTTATATGTACTCTATACATTGATCCGGCTTCTAACGGTGCATTGTAGTAACCATGGTAATACTGACCGTCACCAATCGTTAGGTTCTTGATAGGAGATATGATTTCTGCCGTGATGTAGCTATCATTACCCATCTGTGTTGCCATAGTAACGTTGACTTCATTGTAGACAAAGGGTGGTGGTTGTTCATAGGATTTCAAACGTTGTTCAATATTTCTTTTTTCCACTGCCACTTGATACAAACTGAAAACGTTTTGGTACATATATATAGAAAG